CCATGTCTCAGGTCACCAGGACAGCCCTGGTTGTCCCAGTGTTATGGCAGACTCTCCCAATACTTATGAACCCCAGGGTGGGAGCAAAAATGGCCCCAATAGTTGCTGGGTTGTTTCTTCCTACCAATGGGCATTGTATAAGTGTATTTGTTCTTGCCGCTATCACAAAATACCTGTCTGGATCATTTATAAAGAGTTCTTCCCAATCCAGAGGCTGGAAAGTCCAAGATCAAGGTACTGGCAAGGTCTTGTTCAGAGCTGCTCTCTGCTTCCAAGATGGTGACTTGTGTGACCTTGCATCATGGAAGAGCTGATGGGCAAAAAAGGGGCCTGGCTGGTTTCCTCTGTCTTCTATAAGTCTTCTGAGTTAATAGCCTCCGAAAAAGCCCACCTGTTAATGCCATCACATTTGGTCTTAGGCTCTAGTGATGAATTTTAGGGGGCACATTCAAACCCTAGCAATGTGGGGAAACATCCCAGCTTTCATGATTATGCTCACTCAGCCCCTGTGGTATTACTACTCCAACATTATGATTACTGAACAAATAAAAGCCTGACTCTTAAATTTAGTTTTTAAGAGAGGGTCTAAACTTGGAGGACACTTCTTCCCATAGACTTCTTTTGGAACTGTCTGCTGGACTATGTCTGAAGTCTGGTCCCACCCATAATTTAATTCAAGATGATTTCTGCAGCTTCAACTGGGGAAGTACAAGCTTGGCTCTAATCTTAAGAGATCATTCTGTCTTTCCATCCCTACTTCTCGAATACCTCATTCATCCAAGGTCAATTGTCCTTTCCAATCTCTACTATTTGTAATGGAGACGGGTGAACCACCTTTTAGTGCTTTGCTATGTTAATTCTCAAGTGTAAGCGCATTGATTGTCTTTTTAGATGGAGTACCAATTGAGGTTGCCTAGGAAAGATCAAGTACCAAGGTCACAAGACACATGGTTTTGCTGGGATTAATGAAAAATCATTAGTTCACATTATGTCCATTTTTAAACCATTCCCACACACCTCCAGGGCTAATCTTCGGAACTATATGTGCAATTCTGCCTGCCTTGTAGATATCCCCATGGTGATCTGGGGTCATTTGGGCATGAATTCTGGGATCCTGTGGAGACTTGGAGCATGGCTTAGGAGGGGCAGCACTGGCTTTGAGTCAGTCCTCATCCCCTGTGGAGAAGCATGACCACAGGAAGAGTGGAGTGGATCTCTCTAAATCCCCAAGTGGTAGGGGAGATGGCCCAGAATTTGGGGAGATATTAAAACTTCCCCTTTCATTGGCAAGCATCCTAACTTGGGTAATTAGAGTCATCTCGTTTATGATCATTACTTGAAGCCTTTGCAATTCTCTGCTTTGTGAAGTGGGGGCAACAGTGCTGTGGTGACCACAGGCTCTGCTCACCAAGGTTTCAAAAGGCCTTCCCTTGTGTCTGGTAGATGGCCATAGTATTATCCAAGAGAACTGAAAGGCTATGTACTACGCGAACACCTTTAAGGCAAGAAAACGCACAATCATTACATTCATTTTATGTATGTCTCTGGCCAGTCAGATACCATTTTCTATTTTATGTGAGAAAAATTACAGCAGTAAGGTACAAGGGTAATGGTATGCATTAAGCCTAGAGTGTGCCCTGGAACTTGCCAGAATTGAGAGTGGAGATGGTTTCCTTAAAAATGGCTCCAAGTTTGGATAAATTTCATGAGCTGAAGTGCCAATGACATACTCTTTCCAGTGTGAGCCAAGGCTGAGAACATTATGACACTCGTTGGATTTTAGTGGGAAATTTTAGTACCATAAACTCGTTTTAAGACTACAGAGAGAGCCAAATCTCAATGGCATGTTCTTAGAGGTAGCTGGGTGTTAAAAAGGTGACTAAATCTAGAGACCTAAAAAGAAATGGTTGGCCACTTAGTACTTCACTGCACAAGATTTGGTAGCTGAGCTGCACACTGCTCTTGTTACCCGGCATGTCTGAGCAGATATGACTCATGTGTTTGCTAACAAAGAACCAATTACAATAATCCAAGCAGGTGAGGAAAACCTTCAGATACTGCGGATTTCCTAACTACCTTTTGTTACACTTGAATTCATTTGAAAACCTACAGTAAGAGATGACGTACAGAATATGTGCTCACATTTTGCTTGGACAGAATATGGCTCCTAGCAATTAATGCTTTCAGTCACATTAAGCATTAAATAATGCCTTGTGACATTACAGTATTCCCCATTACAGATCAATTTTATAGTGTTTGTTCATAATAAGACTTGAAATGTTACCTAGAAACAAAATATGTTTTCCTTGAAACAGTCAGAACTTATTAGAAATCTAAGGTTTTACATACACATCACCATGTTAACAGTTATGTCCCCTGGCTAAGGTTTTCTTTCTTTAAATAGTGTTACTCAGCCCCAGAAGCTCAAGTCTCTTTGAGTATCAGTCTTTGTATGTACACTGACTTGAAAGGAAAAATTTAATGCTCCAAATATACCTAGTGTCCTACTATGTACAATTTAATAGATCAACCAGGATTCCGTTTTACAGGGAAAAATAATGAGAGTGCTTTGTAAAATTATGCCGATAACTGGGTTACACAGTATTATTTTCTCATTTTGTTAAAGTCAGGATTTCCAATCCTTTAAAAAAAAGAAAAAAAAAAGGCATCAATTATTGGGCTTGATGGCACACCGCATTTGGGAGGCTGAGGTAGGCAGACCACAAATTAAATTCAAGGTTAGACTGAGCAGCAGAATGAGTCACAACTTTAAAGAAAGGAAGAAAAGGGAAGTAGGAAGAAGAGATGGAAAAGAGGGAGGGAAGGAGAAAGGGAGGAAGGAGGAAGGGATAAAGAAAGGGAGGGAAGGAAGAAGGGAGGGAAGGAGAGGGAGAGAAGGAATTAGCTATTTCTGGCTTGGAGGAGTTACATTTTCTAGTCACAAAATCATACTGAAGATAAGCAAAGAAATAGAGAAAACACGAGAATCAGAGACTTAGAACAGTATGACTTAATGCTAAACTACTGAGATTTGGGGGACATAGATTTGAGTTTCGGCCTGACGTTACCTGTGGAATCCTGGGTAAGTGGCTAGCAGCTACATATTTATACATTAATTTTTCCTGGTGAATATTCCCTTTGACTGAAGCTACCAGACTCTCATTTCCTCATCAATAATTACCAAGCACTTTATTATCCAGTAGTGCCAGGTCCTGGAAAGCTAGTGCCAGGTCCTGGAAAGCCACAGAGACAGACCCCCGTCCATAATGCAGATTACAATCCAGCTTGGCTGTGGGGGGTGGGGTGGGGTGGGTACAAACAAGATAATGTCAAATGGTGTGGTAGGTGGAATGTTCCCTCTAAAAGATATATCCACCTCCCAACCCCTAGAACCTGTGCAAGTGACCTTATTTGGGTTTGTTTTTGTTTCTTGACACAGGGTCTCCCTGTAGCCCCAGCTGGCCTGGAACTTGCTATGTAGAACAGGTTGGCCTTGATCACACAGGGATCCACCTGTCTCTACCTCCTGAGTGCTGGGATTAAAGTGGTGGGCCACTGTGTCCAACAAGTGGCTTTACATGGGAGAAGGATCTCTGCAGGTATATTGAAAATCTCAAGATGAGCTTATCCTGACTACACCGAAGGGCCGCAGGTCCAAAGAGAAGTGTCCTTATAAAAGACATATCAAGCAAGACACCTGGAGAGTGGAAGTTCATGTGAAGACAGAGGCAGACACAGAGCGAAAGAACCCCAGTCACCAGAAGCTAATGAGAAGAAATGAGTCTACCCCAGGGCCTTTGGGGGAAGCACAGCTCTACTGACTTTTTTTGGTGTGCTGGTGTGCAAGTGCACTTGTGTGTGTGTGTGTAGAGGCCACAGGGCAACCTTAACTGTCATTCCTTAGATAATGTCCACTTTGGTTTTTTAAAATTTTATTATGAGTGTATTGCCTGCATGTATGTAAGTGCACTTGTATCATACGATGTCCACAGAGGTCAGAAGAGGGCATCAGATCCCCTGGAACTGGAGTTATGAAAGGTTGCCATCTGCCATGTAGGTGATGGGAATCAAACCCAGGTCCTTTGCAAGAGCAGCCAATGCTCTTAGCCACTGAGCCATCTCTCCAGTCCCCACCTTGTTTTGAGACAGATTCTCTTACTTGCCTAGAACTCACCAAGTAGGCTCAGCTGCCTGGCCAGAGAGCCCCAAGGATCTGCCTCCCTAACACTGGGATTAAAACCATGTTTCACAGCTGAAATACACTTTTTATGTGGTTTCTGGGATTATTTTGTTCGCATAGCAAGCACTTTACCAAATAAGTGATCCCCCCAAACCCCCACCAGTTCCCTACTGAGACTTTCATGTCCAACTCTGGCCTCCACAACTGTGAGCTAAGTTTCTGTCACTGCGAACCACCCATATTGTGGTAATCTGGACATTGGCTTAGGGGGCAAATATTAATCATACCAAGAAATAAAAAAGACAGGACATGTTAAGGACCTAACTGGAGACTCCCTTAACTAGTGGGGTCTGGAAGGCCTCACTGAGGAGGTACCATGTGTGCTACCTGAGAAATTGGGAGGTGGGAGGTATGTACCTATTTCTGAGGGGGCATCAGGTACAAAGGGCCTGATCTGGGAATGACCTGTGTGTGTCTGTGGACCAGAAAGTCAGCAGGGCTGGAATACGGAGGGAAAGGGAGAGGAGTAAGGGAATGGTGTACAGGAGACAGGAGGGAGGCAGGGACCAGATCCTATTAGGTGGTAGAACCCTACATTTTCTCATTAAAACCTAACTTGGAAAGATTATACAGCAAAAATGACTTCAGGTGCCCTAACTGCAGAGAAAGGGCGTTAAGTACAGAGTGATGAAATTGGCAAATACCAGTATATTCTGAACATGCTAGTAATTGGGACCATTCCAATCTGATTCATGGACTCCCGTTACTGTTAATTCCAGAGGAATAATGAAGCCACACTGTGAAGTCAAACACCGTAAGACACATTGGAAAAACCTCAAGGGTATCTTTTATTTCATTTGCTTCCTACTTACAAGGTGGAATTTCAGCCTGTAACTGTTGCTCCTGCTAGTTCAGCCGATGGCTTGGAACACCACCTGTCCTGACTCCATGGTGTAAGCCACGCTAGGGGCAGGCCCAACGGTCCAGGACTCAGCAGACAGGGAATCGAAGTTTGGATTCCCTTGAATCCCCAGTCTGGCTCCCGTGCAGGATCACAGAAGAGAGGCCTGTATTTCTATTCACTATTTCAAAAGTCAGACAAAAAATTCCTCAAGTATATTTCAGGTCCTACAGTTTTTCAAATACCTGATGTTTGTCTCTTCTCTGCCTCTAAAACTGCTTTCTGGTTCACATTATCTTTCTTGATTGTTTCTTATTACAAAAACAAAAAACCAAGATGTGGGTTTATTGTGCACATTAGCAGGTCCATACATAAAAATGCACAGTTTATATACCACGTACAGTAACAGCTCAAAGTATAAAGAAAGAATTGGAAATCTTATGCTTGCTCCAAAATAAGCCTATCTAAAACCACGCCATATTCACTTCATCAGAATTTTCCTTCTCCAACTGTTTAACAGTGGCAACTATTCAAAAAAAACCTGACAGCGCAAATACACAGCAGTTACTCTGTACAATGTCCCCCAACCCACCAAACTTGAGGAACAGAACTCTTTCAAGTTTTCTTTCCCATTCCTTTAAACTTAGTGGGGAAACCCCTAGAAAACTGAGTCAGTTTATAGCAATGTGTCCCCAGAGAGAGAATTGCAATTTGCCAAGATTTTAATGTGCTTCAAGAGAAATCTTACTGAAAAAAATAGCAGTGGCCATTTTCCAGTAAATACAGAGTGAAAAATATTTCTTTTACCCCAATCTGAGGTATAATCTTGTTTTGGGGGAACACAACTGCTATAAACTTGATTACTGCAGCAACCACCCAAGACAGACAGTCACCACATTAGGCTAAGTGTATATCAAAGCTCATCGTGATTTTTTGTAAGATCTTCCCCGTAATTGGTAGCTTGACTTCCAACAAACATGTTCCAGTTGTCCAATATTTCCTCCTTAGTTAGTTTTTCATCCTGAGGAGAGAGCAGAGCTGTCAGGAAAGCCCCAGAAATGCTAAGTCTACTGGTCAGCATGCTGCCCAAATTATTTTGTTGATTTGCAGCATTTTATAACTTCACCTACGAACTCAGAAGTCTCTGGGTTCTTCCTTCATTTACAGTGACTGTGGTGTAGAAAATAGCCTCACTATTTATAAAAGCTGTGCTAAAGTGCCTCGGGTAGGTCCCCAGGAATCCAGAAGATAGGCTCCACTTACGTTACAGGCAGGCCTAGAGGAATTCCACTTCCCTTCTTGGCCTTACTATACAACACTGTAGGTCTGCAAAGCCCAGTGTTTGGGGCAATTAACAAAATGGGATGAGGCAGGATTTTGCCTTAATCTTATTTATTTACTTATTTGGATGTTGAACAATTATTATTATTGCAGTCCTGGGTCTCCAGGACTGAACCCAGAGCCTTACACACTCTAGCCAAGTTCTCTACCACTGAGCTACACTCTCAGCCCCTATTCATTTGGATACTTATCAGTAGATATGGAAGCCCTGGTAATCATCAGAGCCAGAAGAGAGAACTTCTCTGAGGCTGTCGAGGCTCCAATGGAATAGACTTTCTGTGCCTGACTTTCAAAGAAGTTTGTTAAGTATTTAATAACTGAATGAAGGAAGGGAGGAATATGCTTGTCTTAGAACATACTGAGTTAATAACTTAAATCCACATTCTGTCTGTATCCAAATTGCAAGCTTTTCAATCATAAAAGGTTTGACCTAATAAAGTCAGTCTCTGGTCTGAGGCCAACTACACAGAAAAGACCTAAGCTGCTCACTGTGGCTATGGTACTGGCTCAATTTACAAGTCTCTAGTGTAGGGCAAGAGAAGTTAACAGGGTCAATGTTATCGCCAAAGAAGCAAACAAAACCAATCTTGAGCAAACTGTTTTCTTATAGACATTGGCTCTGAACTTGGAAGTTACCTTGTTTTTGTCTGACTCGTATACCAAGTGCCGGGCCTCGGCCTGCGCATGGTCATAATCCTGAGGGAGGATCCAGTGGCGAATCTCATCCTGGTCTAGCTTCCCATCTTTGTTCAGATCCCGGAAATCATTGAACTGCTCCCGTTCTGACAAAACCCAATCTGGCTCAGGGCCATTGTCCTCGTGGGAAAACATATCGGCTAGAAGGGAAGGTTATCCTTGATTATAGAAGACAAGTGGGAAGATAGAAGCCCAAAACCTTGACCCCTGAGTTTTAGAAGGATGACCTGAGTCACACTGGTGCACAGAGCTGTGGGCTGACCACTGACTATCCACTACAGAGACCACATGGTGGGACAGGAAAGCCTGAGACAAGAAGCCAGATGAAACTTGGGATTGCTTCTTAGTTCAGAGACTGAGCCTGAAGTTTATACAGAGACAATAATGAGTAAATCATAGTGCTATTGTGAAGACCAAATGGGCTATTTATAAGACTTAGAAGATGAAAACAAATGATAATCAACACCAAGCACTTCCAATAGCCCAGATATATTAGTGTTGGATATACACTAATTTCTAGTCTCAATTCCTTAACCACCCTATGAAGGAGAGCTGTTGTTCTTCCCGTTTTACAGATGACAACACTGAGACATACCCTGCAACCCACTACTAGTCTGAGCCTGAGGTTACATAGGAACATGGGTCCTCTTCCCCTCTCTTTATTTTAAAGCTTGTCTCATTTCCAAAGAGCTTTCACAGATCATTTTATGTCACCCTTTCAACAATTACTATAAATCATTATCTCCATTTTACAAAACGGCAGGGAAAGGAGAAGGGAACTGGTTTTGTGTTTTGAGACAAGGTCTCACTATGTAGCCCTGGTTGGCCTAGAACTCACTTATAGAGACGAGGCTGGCCTCAAACACAGAGATTTACCTGCCTCTGCCTCCTAAGTGCTGGGATTAAAGGAGTGTGCCACCCTCACCCTCACATAGTTTATCACTGGTCTTTGTAGGCTCATGGGCTGTTTCTCTTTGACAGAAGCAGTTTAGAAACCTTAGGTAGAAAAAAAAGTGTTTCAATTTGTAATAAAGTTTCAGTGTAGAAAGAAGCTTTTGGTAGTAAAGTCTCAACCTAAGAAAAAAACCGAAGTTTCCATACAGAAAAAAAGACTCTTTGTAATAAAAGTTTCAATACAGAGGAAAGAGCCAGGTCTTGGAAGGAACAGGTTAGTGGAGAAAAGGAAAAGAGATGAAAGACGACTGTCTACACGATAAACTCACCCCTGATATTTAGCTTTTCCCCCTTTTCTTGTGTGCCTGTTCATGTGTGAATGTGCATGTGAAAGTGCATTCCCCATGTATATAGAAGCCAAATTTATGTTAGGTGTCTTCCTCACTTCTCCATCTTAGCTTTTGAGTCAGGGTCTCTTACTGAACCTAGAGCTCACTGATGGGCTAGACTGACTGGTCAGTGAGCCTCAGGGATCCTCCTGTCTCTGCCTCCCCAGTGCTAGGTTACAGATATGTGCCACCTCTACCCCCCATCTTTTTATGTGGATACTGGAGATCTGAACTCAGATCCTCATGTTTGCACAGCAAGCACTGTAACAACTGATCCAATGCTCCAACCCCTGCATACAATTTTTAAGAAAGGGCTATGACATATATTAGCTAATTTGAGCTTCATTCAATTCAGTAAGAATGGGTCTTGGTGTCCTCAGGCTGCAGATGAGGAAACTGAAGAAGCATGGAGAGATTGTGGGACTCTTTCAGGGTCACACAGCCAGGAAGTGGAAAAGCCAGGGCTCCTAACTCCAGAGCCCTTCCCAATGCACCACACTAGTGACTTGGTACTTGGTCTGCCCAAATCTAGGGAGGTCCAGAAATGAAGTCACTTGCCTAATAAGTCCACATATTAAGGTCTTTCACATTATAAGCCATTGAAAATTTGATTTTTCAAGCACAATACCACTTCCTCTCTCCCTCTCTGTTGTGTATACAATGGAATGTTTCTTTTAAAGTCCAAGCCACTCAGAGTTTTTCCCGACTCACATCATCTTAATGCAGAGCTCAGGAGGACCCAAAAAGAACATATATTGCTCATCAAAAGCGCTGCATTGTTGGTTTTTATCAGGCAGCCTTTTCTGTCTATGTCATTCAATTGCTGCTGTCTCAGTGGCACATCTGTGCTCTGAATGCTCCCCTCCCATAAGTGCTGGAGAAGAGGAAGGCTCTGCTGCTTACACTGAAGAGGCGACCGGAACATCGGTATTGTACAAAGGTAGTATCACCAAGATCACTTTAATTACCATGGCAAGAGCTACTTGACTGTTACCAATGAAAGACAGAGGAGTATTCATTTCTAGAACCAAATATAATTTTTAATGATTAGCAGAAACTCTATTCATCATTATCAAAAGTACTTGTCCTTGGATATGGGGAGACAAAATTATACAACCACAAGACAGAGAATGAGGCAACCTGGGCTCCAATTTTACCTTTAATGGTAAGTGACTTCCTCTGTTAAATACATACACAAAATTTTTCTCATCTATTTCAATAAGTCAATACCTAAATTGAATATTTCCAGTTTTTACTCAATTGAGATGGGAAAAGGGGAGCTATTATGGGATGGCAGCCTGAAGTTGGAGCCTTGTGCCACAGCGGATGATGGGAAGAGTAAATGGAAATTTCCTTTTTGCTGGCTCCCGAGTCTGGTACTGGGGGGCTACTGGCTAGCAGGAAAGGCTTTAATCCCAGTGCGGACCTAAGTTTCAGTCAGGCATTCCTTAATGGTTTCTTAGTAAGAAAATGCTAGACATGGTAACCCCGAAGAAAGGATGCAACACCAAAGGCACCTATGGCTCTAAAAGGGGTAACTGTGCACACTGTAGAAGGATTTACCTCCCTGACAAGGATGACTTTCTACAGAGAGCTCAGACAATAAGCAATTCCATCAATCACAGTCTCGCCCACTCAGGGCTTCTAAACTGGGCTGACAAGAGATCTAATTTTAGAGTCTTCTCACCCATCTACTTTAGTCTCCCTGTGAATCTACAGGCTCTCTAATTCCATTTCCAAGGCAGTGTGGCAAAGAGCACCCCTGAGTACTGTGGGGCTGCTTCTGGCTGGCTTCCTTTTGCTTCCTCTCTCTGCCCTCCCTAAACAAAGCTTAATTACTTACTTTGTACCACTTGAGCCAATGTGACAAATCAGGCCAGAGGGCCCTCCACACTGGAAAGTCCTAGCCATGAAGCCATCGGATTGTGGGTGGGTGTGAGTGGAGAGCAACATCACCCTGTGCAGACAGCTGGGCGGCTGTAGCCAACACTCACCAATGTACTCGTCCTGGTCCACAAACCCGTCCCCATTCTTGTCAATGTCCTCCAGTGTTTCCTAGGAAAAGGGGGAAACAGACGCAAGATGACCATGTGCTCTAAGGAAATTTGTCCGTTTTTGTCCAGCTTTTACGGCTAAATGCTTGCTGAGTGCTGCCTCATTCTCTAGCTCCCTGGGCACCCCATTATAATAAACAGGCGACAGTTGCTACCTCCATCTCCCCACAATTCTGAGAGAACCTTCTCTTCAAAGGAAAAGGTGTTTGGAAACCCAGTCATGTTCTAATGCTATCAGGAAGCCCTGCCAGACCAACCAATGTCCGCTACCAAACGACACCCCTGGGAGGCTGTGAGAACCCCTAGATTAGATGGATCACACAAAAAAATTCCATAGCTAGGAACACAGAGCCTGCAACAGAGAAACCTAAAACTGGAGAGAACGAAACATTTAAAGGTGTTTCTGGCTTGTAAATTTTTCTACTCTAATTCGTATACTTGACTCTTGGTTTGTTTTTTGTTCCCCACCCAGTATCAATAACTAAGTGAATTTGCCGTCCATTGATCTAGCAACTCAAGGACATCCCATGTCAAAAAAAAAAAGCTCGAGTAAAGGGTATCAATCTTGAGGACATACAATCTCCCTATGGCAATTCCACCTTCATTGTCTTCTGAAAAATTAACTATGACTAAGAAGATGTTGGGTAATAAAGAAAAATGATTCTTGGGCCACTGCCCAGTCCTTGGGGTCATGGTGGACATGTGGCAGAAGTGTAGGGCAAGTGTGGCCCTCCCTCCCCCACTGACTGGACTTTTCACATACTCAGAGCTGCTTACAAACAATAGCTTTAGCCACCTGTTTCCCAGCAGTTGGAACTGACTTAGGACATCTGCCCAGGAAACAGGTGATGGCATTTATTTAAATGTCATGAAAACTGAAGACATGCGGGACCCAACAGGACACTATGGAAAGCAATGACACTCAGAGGCCTCACAAGCACTACCCCCTTTACAAGCCTGGCATCTGGGCCATTTGCCCTTTAAAGATGATTGCTAGAAGCAGCAGCCTTTCCAGCTACAATTTCCATCATGTTCTCTATTCCCTCCAAGCTGAAAACAAGCAACAAGGAGGTGCAGAGACCAGCTAGCTGCTCACTAGGCCATCCGCTCTTTTGGAGCACAGGTCTAAACCGTGTCTTCCAGCCTCTGCATATCTAGGAGGAGCCATCGAAACATAAACATGGACAGGGACACGTCTTTTTCTTTTCTTTCCCTGGTCTGCCACCTGGCTGTTACAGCTATGCCAAATATTCAACTGCAGAGTCCTCCAATTCCCTTCAGGTTGTCCCTCTTTGGAAGAAGGGACAAGGTATGGGACAGTGTTCTCCCTGGTCTTTTCCCGGTCCTAGCTCTTCATCGTTCTCACCAAAACCACAATCTCCTTCATATGTTCAAACTCCTCTGGGTGCAGAAAGGCAGTGAATTCCTCCCGAGTGGCTGTCAGGTCTCCATCTATGTCTGCAGCCTTGAACCTTCTCTCATCACGTGGCAGCATCTTCTTAAAGGTGTGATGATCAGAACTATCTTGGAACTCTGCGGGGTTTCCTGTAGGGCACATACAGATGTATTCAAATGGTGCTGAGGAGGACACTTCGTTCCAGATCAGTCATTCTTCATATACTACACAAAAGATCCTGAATCCCCAAGTTCTTTAAAGTATTTCTATTTGAAATGCCTCTAGGATCTCTTCCTCTGTGTCATTCCATAATCCCAGCCTTAATGCCCCACTAAGGACAGCAGAGCAAGCGCTGAAGAGCCCACACAATATCATAGTTCTGTTTGCAGAATTGTGCTTTTACTCATATCACTTTTGAATCTAGAATGTACATGGACTCCCTGTGTGTCTCAAGGAAGCTTGTCTAAATACCTTTGCTGGCTTTTAAGTTCTCCCTAAACCTGGCTTTGAGTCTTCAGTTCCTCCTAGGCCTGTCCCCTTACTGTTTACCAGACATCCAGGTCTGGGCCATATTCCTCCTTCCTATAATCTACTTTCTCCTATGTCAAAGCCCTGACCATCATATATGCATTTCTGTACCTCTCTGTCCCTTCAACTCAGTTAGCGTCCCTATAGTCTCTCTAACTCTCCAAATTTAAATCTATCCTTCAAGGCCCAAGTTCCAATCCACCCTCCCCACAGAAGTCTTTCCTGACACCTCCAGTGCACTCAATCCTTACTACCCAAACTTCAGTAGCAATTTGCACCACAAGCACACCTCCTTCCTGCTCTCTTCTCTGTGTGCACGAAAGTTCAAACAGAGCAATGACCTGAGATACCTTTTCTCATGTCAGTCAAAGAAAACTATTCGGTACATTCTTAGTAGGCAGAGGAGGATGTTACACAAAATGTTCTACTTTGAAGGTTGTGGCATAGGACTGAAAGGGATAGCTGTGGCAACAGGAGAGTCTCTTGCAGGTAGCTTGTTAACCCAGGTCCCTGCTGAGGCCCTTCTCACCTAGGTAGTAGCCATAGGTGGCCTGCTTGTATTCTTCCCAGGAAATCTTGTCGTCTTTGTCTCTATCGTAATCCTTCCAGACTTTGGCGACATTATCATAGATGTATCTTTTCTGTACCCTTTTGATCCAAACTTTCAGCTCCTCAGTGCTGACAAAGCCATCTCCATCATTGTCAATTCGATCAACAATCTTTCTGTAGTTAAAGAAATAATAAAAATAAAATAGTAAATCCCACAAGGCCATATAATGAAGACTTGTGTGATCTCAGTCCAGCAAAATATCAAGCACTTGCAGGATCTTATATGAATTACAATTACTAAAACAGAAGCAGCCAATCAGTGACCTGATGGTCCTGGGAAGGGTCTTGAGGTTTGTCTTTTCCAAAGATGACATGTGTTTCCCTTCCCACGACCAATGGCAGAAACGTGTAAGGAATAAAGGGGGTGGGGACAAGGGGTGATTTTCCTGTCTCAAGACAACAGTATAGGGAGGTAGGTCAAGTGTGGAAGAAAATGTCCAACACTCAGCAAGCAAAAGAAATGAGTAAAGCCTTCAGTAGGGTCGTATGGCAAATGGAGACTGCTGCCATCTGCCATCAAGGCTGCCCAACTGGAACAAGAGGAGACAGAAATCGGGGTGCACAAGTGAAATTATTTTTTTGAGACAGGGTCTCCTATAGCCTCCACTAGCCCGGAACTCACCACGTAGACCAGGGTGACTTCAGTCTCACAGAGCTACGCCTGCCTCTGCCTCCTGAGTGCTAGGATTAAAGGGGTGCACCACCATGCCTAGCTGTGAAATCACTTTTAACTTTACATGTTGGCAAGTGATTTACATTTTCTAAGATTATATTGGGCAACTGAGCCTGTATGCAGCCTATGGCTTCACTTTGCAACTCTTTGGCCCAGGTGTCTCCAGGGACTCTTAGCAATGTCCTCCCTCTGCAGCCCAGACTTAGGGGGGACTATTGGTACAGAGGACAGAGAGACAACTTATTACATTCAGCCTGTGATTTCCAAAAGACCCAGTCTACTTCTAGCCTAGATTACGTTAGAGAAGAGACTCAGGCCAGAAACCCAGATGTTATCTTTGGTTCCCTCCTCTCCAACACTGAGTCAAGAGCAAGTGCTGCCACATCTGTCTGGATCCTTCCTGTCCTAACACCCAGCAAGGTCATGCATCATTTTCCTACTGCCCAGCCTCCTAGTCTGCTTCAGGTATGTTGGCTACCCTTTTGCCAAGGTTTGGGGATTAGGTCATCTAAACCACCACCACACACAGATAACACCTCATCTCATCCCCCTGTGCCCTTCACTTCCTCTTCTCTCCCACCTCTCTCTTCTCTTCACCTTCTCTCTTTCCTCTTCTCTGCCACTTGAGGCCCCCAGCATCCCTCCTGCCCCACAAAAGAGGCGAAACCTTTCTAAACAAGCTGTTCTACTTCAGGAACACCTTCCTCTTCTTATCTACCAGGCAACTTTTGGATCATCCTCACAAGTTCTGATGAGTTACCACCTGCAAGCCCCACAGCACCTCTCTCCAACCTGAAGCCTTAGCGGTGCCTTCTTGTGCACACTGGCTGTGGTTTTAACATGTTGCCATCACAGCAATCATGCCTGTTCGTGTCTGCCTGTCCTCAACATTGGATTACCAGCACCTTGAGGCCTAGAGCATGTGGCTTCATCTTTGTACCTGTCAGGTGTCAAACAGGATACTCACTATACAGGAGTGACTGTAATACTTGCTGCATGCATAAATGAATGAAGTCAAGGTCTTCTTACAAAGACTAAATCCTAAGCAACTCTATTAGTATTTGTATTTGCCATTAAGCTGACCATCCTGATAAAGGAATTAAACAAAGTCAGAGGACAAAATTACCAGTCCCCAGCCCTCTCCCCCTTACTCTTTTCCAGTCACAATGCAAAATGGCTACAATCAGGGCTCTAGAATAAATCAGTCTCCAAGGCCTCAAAGCTGTACAATAGAGTGAATTTATCAATGGCCCCTATTGTTAAGTCTCCAACAAGAAGAGAAGGTACTTCACTGCCAAATAAAAGACGCATGTTTGGAGGTGACTTTGAAATCCAAAGACCTTATCACAGCGGGCAGATGGTGCACCTACACAATAGGGAATCATTTACCTAATCCCCTGAACATTCTGGCCTTTGGTAGTCCCTGGAGCACAGAGGTGGCTGTGTTCTTTTTCACCGTAGCAGGACATGAAGATCCTCCGCCCCCAGAAACCAAGTTCTGGAAGCCCTGGCCAGCAACAGGCAGAATTGCTGTGTCCTTTCCCAACCCAGCCTCCACCTGGACTATGCTGGCTACTTGGTCCCTCTAGAAGGATTTCCAGGTAACTAACTATACAAGGGCCAAGTGTCTCCTGGGGATCAGGGGAGGGATTATCAAGACGTACCCGTTTCGTTCCTAGGTTTGTTTTCTGATTCCGAGTTAAGCTCACCACCATGGCCACCCTGAAGCTTTTTGCCCCTGACAACCAGTTCCCAAACTGGGTGCCTCACCAAATCATGCTGGAAGCAGAGCTCAGGGGATTGGTTTCTATCTCTGTGCCCGTCCCCCAAGTCTCAGCCCGACTTTCCCCTACACAACTAGATTTCTAATTCTCTCCATTAGACATAGACTAATCTGGGACGACTAGTCAGTCATAAGACAAGAACATCCAGCCCTGACCAAAAGACCAAAGAACGAGCCTGTTTCGCCTGCTCCGCATTTCTGTTCGCTCTTGATATCCCATTGCAAGAGTCTCAGGCGCCTCTGGAGGTCTAAGACAGAAACTGCGGGGAAGCCCCCGGGAATGAAGGCCACTATGGACAAACTCCTGTAGGCTCTCTCCCTTCCCTTCTGATGCAACCAAGGGGAGCGGGCAGGCCCTCTCGGCCCAGCTCCCGCGGTCGCTGCCACGTTCTCGCCTCCCCGCGGGAAGTCACCCCGGCCGGGGCGTGGCGGCGATCTCCACGCGGGGTCCGGGCGTTCGCAAGCAACTTTGCGGGATCGGGTCCCGGCGCGATTTCGCTTTCACTTTGCGTTCGCGATCCCGCGTGCCTCCCGCTGTGGGTACGGCGGGCACCTGCGCGGCCCGGGCCGCGGCCTCACCCCAGCCTCTCCTTGCTCTCGTCCGGGGTGAGCTGATCGAAGGTCTTGGAGTCCTCCTTGCCCAGGAAGGCCTCGTGGTCGTACTGGAAGCTCTGGTTGTCCTCGGGCGGCCGCTCGCCCAGTTCCGAGTCGGGCCGCACCACGCGCTCCTTACGCACGGTGGGCTTGGCCCGCAGCGCCAGCACCAGCGCCAGCAGCAGCCCCAGGGCGAGCCCCAGGCGGCCGCGGCCACCGTGCGCCATGGTCCGGAGCAGAGGGAGGCACCGAGCGGCCGGGCGATGGGGGCTCGCGGCGCCGCTGTCCCCTCCCCGCCGAGGGGGGCGCGCCTGGCTCGGGGAGGCTCCGGCCGCCCTACTCACCCGCCCATTGGCCACGGCCGCGCCGCTGGGGGAGGCCGGGGCAGCCGAGCCACGTCGCCAGCCCGGGGCGGTGGGCGCCCTGCTCGGGTTTCGCCTCCGCCCCGCCCCGAGATCTGATCTCGAGGGGCGGGCCCAGACGAGCGGGGCCGGGGACTGGAGGGCTCGCTGCTACACTGGGAAGAAGTTCTTGGCAAAAAGCAACACATGTTCAGGGCAAAATCTCCTCCTGCCTCTCCTCAACTTGAGAGCCCCAGACTTGTCCTGAGATGTGCACTTAAACCCAATCCAACCCGTTTACACAATTTGGAGTGTGGTTACACGCGTGCCAGCATCTGGAAGAAGGCCAGGATGGGCGCGGTCCCCTAGGTTAGGCAGGTCCTTCATCCCAGCACCCAGAAGATAACTCCAGCCGGGGAAACCCCTGAAAAGAGAAAACAAAACAAAATAAAACAAAAAAACAGCGCATTTCAGCTTTCAGGGGAAGAGAGACGGAAAGGCCTACCCAAAGAAACCGTTCAGATCTTTATGTAAATTCATATTACAAACCCACCACGTGAGTCAAATACTATCAGTATATTAAATCCAAAATAATACCAATCAGAGGCTCTGTACTACTTAACTTTCTACTATGATGAACTGTTCTCACTGTGGCCTGTCTCATTAGTAGTAGCCACTGGGCCCATGACATGGAACCACTCCAATCTGAGTAGTTGAATTTAAGTGTAAAAATAGCCCAGTGGCCATGATATTGGACAGTGTATGTGTCTGGATCTATCATTCTTTTCTGTCACCAACTCTTGAAACTCACTGAAAGCTATTGACTCCTTTCCACCAGACTACATAGCCAGTTGTTGGCATAGGAGTTCCATTAAAGTGTCACCGAGGATTAATGGACCACCTGAAGCCAGGAAGCCCTGTGTTGAAGATTCCTTGAGAACTGTGGTTGAAAGGACAAAACACTCCCACCCCAGCCCTTGAAAGCTGTTCTCCCAGAAATATCCTCCATCTTCTGTTGCCTTTCCTGACAGTCCAAAGAAAACGTCACTAGGCGGTGCTTATTGCACATATAATATGGATATCAGAATGTTATCTATAGCACAGGTGCAAGTACTTTCTTATAAAGGCCATTTTCAGTTTATAAGTAGTGACTGTCAGCCTGCTACAGTTAAGCATTGTGGGTATAATAGTGAATAAGATAGGCATGTCTCTGCTGAGCTACAGTATATATGGCCATAGGGGTCAATCAGGGAAGGCCTCCTGGAGTGAGGGACTTATCCAAACCTACACTTAAGGTAAGTAGGGTTAAGATAGCCAAGGGGTATGGTTATATGAGAGAGCCTATGTTAGGTGACAGAGGACAGTGAAGTTTGGTAATACTCTGTGACCTTGTATACCACCTCCAGTGTCAGTGAGACCTGGAGGGTTGATTTTGCATTGGATAAGTGTTGTGTTTGAGAATAGAAATTGGACCCTACTGCCAATCAAGCAGGGTGAGCTTCTAGCAAAGGAAAAGTGTTACTTGGGGTGTAGAAGTGCTCCCTTGATTGTTAACTTGGTTGGATCGAGACTCAAATAAGATGACCTATATGTGAAGGCATTTCCAGAAAGAATTAATTGAAAGGAAAAGACCTTCCTCTAGCAGCTGCCCAGACAGGAAGAGGTCAGAGGAAAAAGCATGGCTCCTTGCTGGCCTGCCTTCTCTGCTTGCTGGTGAGCAGTACCTCTGCTACCCTTTACTACCACCAAAATGCATCTTCGTCAGCCTTCTACTGTGGACTGAAGACCAGCGACTCTCCAGGAATCTCCCAAGCCTCAGTACTAGATTGGAATTGGGGAGCTGTCAGGTTCTCAGCCTCTCCAGAGTACAGATGGCTATTTGTGGACTGGCCAGCCGCTATCATGTAAGACAGACTAGCCATCCCCTATCATGTTAAGACAGATAGCCAGCCCCTATCATGTAAGCCAATCCAATACAACACAAACTTATTCTATTGGTTCTGTTCCTTAAGAGAACTCTTAATTCCCTTGTAAAATGTAAATGTCTTGAGGAAAGTAGTTTAGCACCCTCTGTATTCATCTGGCAATCAGGAAGTGAATGGAGTAAGAAGAAGGAAAGAAGAGACTTGGAAAGGGAATGGAAACGCGCAGGTAGAGACTCGTGGCAGTCTGCTTATTCATGATTTTTGCCTCAGTAGAGCCCAGCTCACCCGGACCGAGCCAGATTCTGAGGAATGACAGTGACACATCTTCACTCTTGCTGCAGTTGGCTTCCTGCCGGACACAGTGGCTTCCAGCAGATTGTTCCAGAGGTAGTCTTAGTTCCTGTGGGAATTACCAGTACGGCTATGAGTCTGGAAGCTTTTATGTAACTTCCCCTGAACTTGCTTACATTCTTGTCCTTCATAGTTTCACTGCTCCCCCCTTGAGAGTTCAGGTCCTCCCAACCAAATGATCAATCAAGAAGTGATGATGCAAAATAATTGAGGTATTAGGTAATTGCTTTCTCTCATTTTCAAAACTTTCTTTTCATTTCTTCCCTGTACATATATGGGGAGACTGATTAAGCATATTGTCATCTCTAGGTTAACTTCCATTCTCGATTACATAACGGATCCTCAAGCAGAAGAGGTAACATAGAGCAGAGGGTTGAACCAGTGGCAAGAAAAAAAGAAGTTTAAAATAAATGAATTGATAGGCTAGGGTATGCTGACCTGCTGAAAGTAATATAATCCCATCAAAACTCCAGCTAAAAGCTACTAAAACAAAGAAGACATTATTAGCTCATGTATAAAACGTCTTTTTAAAAACATCTCTGCGTGGGGTTCTGTGGACACCTGAATTCACATCCTGCCTGTGGTGATCTGCTGCATAAGTCTGGCCCATGAGCTTCCAGGAATTCTGCTGTCTCCATAGCATTTAGCTATTTGTGGGTTCCACACATGTGTGGGTCCTCACACATGTTGGGCAAGCATTTTACCCACTGAGACACATTCTCAAGCCCCAGAAAGTCTTGTGTTAGACCAACTTCAGATTGGTTTATTCAAGTGGCTTGAGGGCATCATCAATGGATCAGGTTTTTGGAGCTTTGTTTTTGGTTTTTCTTCATTGGCAATGATAAAAGGAATGTTTTCTCCCTGTATTAGGAAGAAAACTTTCCTATCAGACCTCCTTTCACATCTCATTGGTTAGAATGCTGCCACTGAATGTGCCTGATTCAATGACAAGCAACTGTAATGGAAATTCCATGACCAATTAGATCAATCAAGGTTCACTCCACAGGGCTGGAAAATATACAGCACCCTCTGAACCACACAGTGTATGAGGGTTTTGTGGGGAGAGAGCAAGCAGAATGGTTATATATCACAGGGAGTCATTATTAACTGCTTATGTAATTAAGCCATTTCTTTTTAAAAATATTTTATTATTTTCGATTTTTGTGTATTCGTGTTTTGCCTGTATGTATGTAAGTACATCCATGTCATGCAATGCCCGTGGAGGTTAGAGGAGGGCATCAGATTCCCCTTGAACTGGAGTTATGGATGATTGTTAGCTGCCCTGTGGGTGCTGGGAATCAAACCCAAGCCCTCTACAAAAACAGCTAGTGCTCCTAACAACTGAACCATCTCTCCAGCCCCTAAAAGTCATTTCTTCATCTCCATCTCCTTCTACCTCTCCACCTTACAAAATCATAGGAGGTCTTCAAGACTTAGCTCACATGTCATTTTTCTGTGGTGTTTTCCTTATGCTTCAAATAAGAATCAATTACTTCTAACCCCAAATGCCCACAGCCTTTCCATCTCACAAAAACATTTTTCACAGCCTTATTTGTACTAACAAATTTGCTTCAGTCTCTTAATTCTGTATTCCCCGACAGGAATAGTCCCATCTGAGTCATGTCCATATACATAAATCCTGGGAATAGCACATTTATTGTCACTTCACAGCAGTTAATTGCAATATGACAAGCTTGACACGAGGCTGGGGACCATATCCTTTTGACTCAATACTGCATAGCCACTACTTAACATAGTATCTGGTTCATGGTAGGCGCCCCAATTACATGTGAATGCATAATCAGATACTAATGCCTACTAAATTCTGCTTCAGGTCAAGATGGGAAAAGGCAGAGACCCTTCTATTTGAAACAAATAGACATGAAATACACAAGGGGACAGTTTTTAAGATGGTGGACACCAGGGACAAAGGCCACTGGAAATAAACAAGTGAGTCTCATGGTTGTCTCAGTCCATTGCTTTGAGAAGAATTTACAGCTGTGACGCAAGGAACAAGAACTAAGGTGAAACTGATGGATGTCCTAAGTTAGAAACAGAGGTGAATATCCTGAGAGACGAGGTCAGTCATATTCTTAAGGTAAGCACGCTAAAAGGAGAAAGCTACAGGTGAGAACCCCCAAGATTTGCAGGGCACCCCCTTGAGTATTGAAAGGCACTGCTCAATGCATGAGTCAAGGCTGAAGAGTGAACCATCTGCAGAGTTAGAAAGAACAAGGAGTAGCAGGCCCAGTACTTGCTTCTACCTGTCACACTGAAAAAAATATGTAATTCACTGGGCACTGGATAGAGAACTCAGGAAGGTCTTGCCTCAGAGGTGAGCAGGACTCAGCCTCGTCATTGCTTTCCAAAATGGTTAACAGAATGCAAAAGGAGGATCTGAAATTCACAACTGTTTCCAAGTAACTTAACTCCAGAAAAAAAAAAGCTACAGAAAACTTATGGTAACATAATACAGAAAACAGAAATAGAGCACCAAATAGAGTAAAATTCACAATTTCTAACATCTAATCAAAGACATGCTAAGGAGGCAGGTGTGGTGGTCCATGCTTATAATCCCAGTGCTTGGGAGGCCAAGGCAAAAGAATCACTAGTTAGAAGGCAGCCTGGGCTATATTGTGAAAACAAAATAACAACAACCACACAAAACATAAAAAAATCAAAGCAATACATAACAAAATGAGAAACCATTGATTAAAAACTGACCTAGAACTGACCAGAATGAACAGAGAAAACATTTAAATGGTTATTACTGTTGTA